TTAGGTCAAACGCCGCAACTTTGGACCTACTGCAGCCCAGGGGCAACTACGGTCTGTATGACACCGCAGGACGGGGATGCGCGCAAGTCTAGCAGCCAAAACAGCACAGGGCGGCGAACTTGGATCCCTCGTGCGTCGCAGGGCAAACAAGAATTCCAAAGCAAGCCGAGGACACACCAATGCTAAATTCAACATAAAGATGCTGGTGATGGCAAAGATATGCTCATTGTTTGGATCTCATTGTGTCCATCTCAGAGATGATGCATGTGTTCTTGTTTGGATCTCTCCATGCGCTTGATCCGGAACGGATGCAAGCATCGGGCGCATTTACTTGGTACTGAGAGCCTTCTTTCAGGCCTGTACAACCGTTCTCAACTGCTTTAAGCAGAACAAAACTGGAAACCTTTCAAAGAAAGAGCCGTAGCAAGGCAGCCTTGGGCGGCTAGTGATCCATCACCACTCTTCGCAGAGAACCCACAGCCACCAGGAAGCTAGCTACGGCTGCAATGTTGGTGTAAATCCTAGACCCTTATCCCTAAACACGAACAGCTACAAAAACCCTAGTAACAGCCGAAACAGCTTTAATAGATCCTTCTGCCTCCGGCTCATTTCAACTTCGGATCTGCTGCCGAAGCACAAATGAAACTGAACACCTGATCGACCCTCCGGTTCAAAAAGGAGGTGGGGTCTGCTGTAAAGAAGCTCAGGCTTTCTTGGCATCCCATCGACCTTCCTTCTTCATCAGCTCCACCATCCACCGCACCCTTGGCATTTGGGTCTATACCCCTAGGCCCCTAAGTAGTTCCGTTTTATGGTTTACATTTAGAATCCTATAAGGTAATCCCAAAAAAAAACTACTTAGGGGCCTATGGGTAGGGTCACAAGCTCCGAAGCGAGATCCCGCTCGGCTGTCGATGGCTTCGGGACAGCGTGCGGTATGATACCGAGACGCCCAGGACAATGAAAGGGACTCGGGGCGAGACAGGACCAAGCTCTCTGAAGCTTCACCTAAGCCCTAAACCCTACACCCTAAACCCTAAACCCTATACCGAAGCCCAGGCCGCAAACCCTGAAGTGCCGAAAAAAAAAACATCCGCTCTCACGAGAACCGATCCTCCAAAGAAAGGCGCAGCCACTGAAACCCATGGCCCCCTGGGCAGAGTATGCCGTCGAAGGCTCCACCTAGAGTCCTAAACCCTACACCCTAAACCCCTATAAACCCTAAACCCTAAACCCCTAAACCCGAAACCCTAAACCCCCATAAACCCTAAATCCTAAGCCCCTAAACCCGAAACCCTAAACCCTGAGTGAGTACTGCAGGGTATTAGGGTTCACGGCTTAGGAAGTATAGAGAAGATCAAAGGTTCCCCGGGTAGGCGATAAGAACTTCATGTAAGATGTAGGGCTTGGGGTTTAGGGATAAGTGTTTAGGTCTTAGGGTTTAGGGTTTAGGTTTAGGGATTAGTGTTTAGAGCTTAGGGTTTAAAGTTTAGGGATTAGTGATTAGTGTTAGAGCTTAGGGTTTAAAGTTTAGGGACTAGTGTTTAGGGCTTCGGGTTTAGGGTCTAGGTTTAGGGATTAGCGTTTAGGACTTAGGGTTTAGGGTTTAGGTTTAGGGATTGGTGTTTAGGGGATTAGTGTTTAGAGCTTAGGGTTTAGGGTTGATCGATACTTGCAGCTGCGGCTGCCTGGCTTAGGACCGTACGAACAAAGTGTCTTGATCCTCGAGGGAATGTCAGTCCTATGCGTGGTCATGACCATGGTCAGTACTAGAAAACCTCATCATGACCGCGATAACTAGGATAACTATGACTATAGCTACGGTTGCGACTCCACTGCGGCTACCACTGTCAGCGTCATTGCTATGATCCTTCTGCTCATTGCCGTTCCTGCAGTTTTTCATGCGAGTAAGACTGCAACGCCTGGACTCCCCCCGAACCCCAAACCTGTCTTTCCGGGGCTAGGGGTTAGGGTTTAGGTATTAGGGCAGAGATTAGGGTTTAGGGTTTGGGACGCAAACGGACCCTAAAGCCCTACTCGCAAAGAGATCCAAGCAGCACTTCCAACCCTGCTGCGGAGGCTGCTGGTGCGTCGCGCTCGCAGAGCTTTGTCCTCTGCTCGGCAGGCACGTCACCTGCCGAGGGCAGACTAGCCTCCAGGATCCCCCAAACAGTGAAAGAGCAATACCATGACGACCACGACCACCAGGGCACCAGGACACCACCAGCAGACCAGCAGGAGACGACCGGGAGACCACGAGACCACCAAGACATCCCAAGACACCCCCCACAAGACCACCGGAAACCAGCCGCAACACCCTCCTCCAAGTACCAGCGGACAACGGCCATAACGCGTTTCCCCAAGTACTGGCTGGAGTCAGGAGGATTCCGGCGCACGGCCAAGATGTTGCGCGAAATCGCTAGCAAATCCACGTCGCTGATTCCTATCTCTGAGACTCGGAACTTCAGGTCTACTTGGAGGTTCACGGGTAGTTACAAGTGGGCTTATAAGTAAGGTAATAATAGTTATAACCCATATTAGGGGTCTTATAACCATACTTATAACTACTGAGGGCTTCGAAATCGCTAGCAAATCCACGTCGCTGATTCCTACGGTTGATGATATAGACCCTGCACTACCCATAATAAGGAATATACCATAATTCCCATAGTTTAGAGTCCTTAAAGATAATGCAGGATTTATATCATCAACAGTATCTCTGAGACTCGGAACTTCAGGTCTACCCAACAGGATGCTAAGGGCCCCTTTTGGAATTTGTACGGACTTTCTAGAGTCTCTCCGGGGCTATTGCTGAAACCCCCATATGTCGGGTCCTTGCAGAAGCATCATGGCAAGTCCATGCAAGTCCTCATGTAGAACCCCTGAAACCTTCCGTACCATGTAAATACTTAGGGCCCTTCGGTCTTTGTGTACTCCTACCGCTTCCTGCTTGGATGTGGATATCTGGGAAAAGACGGCTAAGAGATCGGGGTTCGTGATCCCTACACCCCAAAACCTTGAAAACGCACTTCAAGCAACCAGGGTTTTTGAATGCCCTTAAAAAGCCCTTCAAGCAACCAGGGTTTCGTCGGCTCCCGATCTTAGAATACCCCCGTTGCTACTGTGTCTTCTTTTTCTGATAATTAGCCTTGATGCTTCCATGCGATTCTTCTGTGACGGCTGCTGCTACTACCACCACCACCGCCACCACCGCCAGCAGCAGCAACACCCATGTCCCTGCCTGCATTATTTGCATCTCGTCTTGCGTTTGGCTACATCTCACCGGAGATCAAAAAAACTCTTCTTGCCCCCCCAAACCCAAACCCTGAACTTTAAATTCTAAACTCTAGTCAGTAGACCTCAAAACCTCAACTTCACCACCAAAAGCTCTAAACCCTAAACCCCGGCCTATGATGAGGCCTTCGGACTTGATGATGCCCTCCTTACCAGGCATGGCGCGCATGCCAAGCTTCACGGTCTTCTGGAGCATCTGAGCCGCGGGTTTCAGGGAGGCCTGAGGGTTTAGGGTTGAGGACGTGGGGCTTAAGGCTTAGGGGCTGGACGGGTTGTGGTTGTTGTACAGGTTTCTGACGACATCTCGGCACCATGAGAAAGATGAGACTCGCTGATTGTGCTGTTACCGTCGAGACCCTTAATGAACGTCCCGAAACCGGCGTCGATAGAGCTTTCTCGTACATTTGGCGAAGGATTTTCGGCTTTTGGGCTTTCTGCCCAAATCGGTGGTAGTAGACTCTAAGCAGTCTAAACCCCTGAATCCTAACCCCTATAAAAACCCCAAAGCCTGAGCCCTACAAGTTTCAGTCCAATTATCCGAATCTTCCTTCAGGGTTTCCAGATCGCCAAACCGGCAACTTTTGCGTCCCTAAACACTGAAGCCCAAATGCTGAACGGTGGATTTCAATCAAACCCACTCGGTTTCGGGTTTAGAGTGTCGAATTCAGGGTTATGTTCATGGTTCAGGTTTAGTATTAAGGGTCTTTGGGAACGGTTGCAAGGGCTGTCGGCGGGGCTAAAGCCGCGGAGAATGCTGAGACTCTGGCCCAGCCGTGGTACTGCATCAAAGTCTGCTTGTAGGCCTTTCCGGGAGGGCGCGCTTACTGTGCCTGCACCCTCTGAACACTAAACAACCTAAATCCGAAGGTCTCTGATGAAGGGTTTCAGAATGGGGCTTGCGGTTCACGCTTTCTGGGGTTCGGGGTTCGGGTCTAAGGATGATTCAGATTCAGGATGGATTTCCCAAACCCGAAGCTCTTCACTCCATAAACCCGAAAACCCTAAACCGGGGGGATTGGAGGTTTAGGGTGTAACCGTTTTCTTTGCACAGTGCCTTTTCTCCAAAATGTCCACTCCTCGAGGAGTCAAAGAAATTCAGACACTCACAGACACTACTTGCCATCGTCGGGTGGTGACCCTCGAGGTCGCCTCCAGGTCCGACCGCAGTATCCGAGGCTCCGTCACGGTCATCTGCATCTCGGCTGCGACGGTGGTTCTGGCCACGCGACGACAGTTGCTCTCGGAAAGGGCAGAAGTCGTTGATCGCGACAGCGGTTCGCAATCCTGCGCTGCATACGTTTGGGAAAGGGCACCTCAGGCTTCGCCACTCCTTCGGAAAGTTCCCGATTTCTTCGCGAGGGTCTGCTTGCAACAAATAGAGGTCCTCATCATTGGTGTCTTCTGGTAAGCCTGGGTGAAGACCGAGCCCCGTCATGCTCGTCCAAGTTGTCCTGCTTCTCGCAGTGCTGTGGCTTGCACCCGGCCTTGTTTGAGGACAGTCTTCTTTCTGCAATTGTCACGGACTGGGCGAAGTTAATGCTTGCTGGCCTCCTGGTTTCTCAACCAGGATGTTGTTGCTTCCAGCTTGTACTGGCTTTCTTTCGTCGTCTGCTTCACCGGAGCCAAATGTTTGGTCATGCCAACCTTCACCCCTGCAAGCTGTGAACCCGACTTCTTCCTCTGCTTTGCATGAAGCAGTTTGTTGATCACGTGCTGGGCCCATGCTTCCTCCTCCCACTCTCCATGCTTGGACCATGCTTCCTCCTCCCACTATTCATGCGCCCGCCTCCTCTTTTGCGTCTGCCTCTCGGTGAGGTGAAACAGAACTGCGGAATCGGATCCTACAAGGACTCCCAGTCGCTTCAACGGGAGCTTGAGCCAAAATGGCCATGGGTTTAGGGTTACGGTTGAGGGTTTAGGGTTTAGGGATTCAGGGTTTCGGGTTTAGGCTTTAAGGGCCCTTTAGGGTTTAGGTTTAGGTTTAGGGTTTAGGGTTTAGGGTTTAGGATTGGGGTTGATGGGCTTAAACCTGGCGTCGGGGTCCGGAAGGCCTCCACCCCGGCATTGCCCTTCTTCTCCTCGATGAACATCAAGTTGATCATCGTCATGAAGAACTCCACACCCCTGTGTGAGCATGAGGCTTGGGGTTGATGGCTTAAGCCCTTGGTTTAGGGTTTAGAATTCTTTTTAGGGCTCGGGCTTCATAGAACAGTGAATGACACAACCAGCAGTCAGTGAGAAATCTGAGAAGGCTTGCGTCATCATGGCCTGAATCAAGAAAACAGAAGCGCCTCTTGTCCGAAATGCGTGACTAGTCACTACCCTTTCGTGACCGCCCTGAAATGAGAAAAAATCCTAAAGCCGTACCGAATAGACCGTCGTCTCAAGCCCAGCCGCGTGACCGTTACTCACACAGGTGTTCGGGATCCGCCCTGATCCATACGGCCCCTTCGCACGAAATGCAACGGCCCCCTCCAAAAAAAATGAGAGCTCCTACCATTCTCATGGTGGCCTCAATAGCCAGGTGACGCCCTCAACGGAAGAAGCTTTCCTGAAAAGGCTTCGGAGTGGGCAGTGCGCTACAAGTTAGAACTGCTGCGGTGTTGAAGAAACTCAAAACGCCCCAGGACTGGAGCATATTTCAAAGGCTCAGAAGCAAAGCCTAGACATTCTATGGACCCTAAACCTCGAACCCAAAACCCCCCAAAACCCCGCCTCCCCCGAAGCACGAGCCTCAAAAAGGCTCCGAACTGCCCTGTTTCACAGCTATCAAGGTGGTGAAAAACTGGATGGGGGAGTTCGCTGGCTGAGGTGGTAGGATTCGGGATTTAGGAATCAATTTTTAGGTCCCGTCTCAACGATCTTGAAACAGAAAGTACCAAAACCCCAAAAACCCTCAAAACCCCAAATGCAAAAAGGCTGAGTGAGGCCCTAGCCCTTCGACCCCTGAACCCTGGACCCTATTCGATCTAGGTTCAGGTAGCCGGACAAGGTCTGTCTCGCTTCCGGTGCTTCCTTGTAGACCACCTGGGGTCGCTGGATCCTACCCCCTTTCTTCAAAAGGCTTCATTCAAGGGCTGCTTTTTAAAGGATTCCTGAAAGGTTCCCTTAAAAAGTTCCATTCAGGGGCTGCTTTTTAAAGGATTCCTGAGGGGGTTCCCTCAAAAAGTTCCCTTTAAGGCCTCGGGTTGGTAGGAATTTTGCTAGAAAGCCGAGACTCGCGGGCCCTTTTTGCGGGCCTGAAGGCTTCCCCTAAGCCTAAACCCTACCCATAGGCTCCATAGTAGTTTCTTTTTGGGTTTAGGGTTTAGGGTTTAGCCCTATAGGATCCTACATATAAACCACAAAACGGACTGATAAGCAGCCTATGGGTGCACCCGAATCCCCAAACCCTAAACCCGAAACCCCGAGCTTGTGGCAACAGGGTTCCGGGCTGACACTTCGGGCCAGTGAGATACAAAGACCCGGCCCTCCGATGGCGGCTTGAAGGCTCCGGCAGGGTTTAGGGTTTAGGGTTTAGCATTTCGGGTTTAGGTTTAGGGTTTAGGGCTTCGGGTTTAGGATTTAGAGCTTAGGGTTTAGGGTGTAGGACTGTTGGATCTACACCTCCGGGAAGCTCGGGCGTTTTGAGCTTAGGGCTGGGGCTTTAGGGGGTTTCGGAAGTCTACACACCCGGGAAGCTCCGAGGATGCTCAAGGTGGAGAAACCCAGCTGAAGGTGTTCGATTTCGTTCGTCTTTCTAAAACGTAGAAGCACCTACCTACCCATAGAACACTCTCGCAACCCATACTAAGCTCGTGTCTGCGTTTCAACCCTAAACACTGAAGCCTGGACAACAACTCTTCTCAAGTCTGTGCAAGACACACTTAACAAACCCCGCTCCAAGGCACCATGGACGCGCTAAACCCTGAACCCGTTATCCCTCTGAGCTCCCCCCAAAGCCTCAGAGCTTTTAGACCCCCAAACCCAAGAAACCCTAAACACTAAACCCCTAAACCCTAAAGCCGCAACCGAATCGATGCCTCCAAGCTACCTGGGCCTTCTTCAGGTTGCCCTCGATATCCTTCAAGACGATGCCAGCCGCGGAGCCCAGCTTGGAGAGCATGTCGCCTGGGTTCCGGGTTTTGGGATCAGCTCCTACCCGAAACCCTAAACCCTAAACCCTAAAACCCTAAACCCCTCAACCCTAAACCCTAAACCCACGGTCTAGGGTTTTAGGAATTAGGGTTTAGGGTCTGGGGTTTTAGGGTTTAGGGTTTAGGGTCTAGGGTTTCAGGGTTTAGGGTCTGGGGTTTCAGGGTTTAGGGGGTTTTAGGAATTAGGGTTTAGGGTCTGGGGTTTTAGGGTTTAGGGTTTAGGGTCTAGGGTTTCAGGGTTTAGGGTCTGGGGTTTCAGGGTTTAGGGTTTAGGGTCTGGGGTTTTAGGAATTAGGGTTTAGGGTCTGGGGTTTTAGGGTTTAGGGTTTAGGGTCTAGGGTTTTAGGATTTAGGGTTTAGGGTCTAGGGTTTTAGGGTTTAGGGCTTAGGGTCTGGGGTTTCAGGGTTTAGGGTCTGGGGTTTCAGGGTTTAGGGTTTAGGGTCGGGGTTTTAGGGTTTAAGGTTTAGTGTTCACCGCCGTGCTTGGGCCTCTGGTAGCTGGGTTTCCCAAACTCAAAAACCCAAAGCACTCACTAACTTTCATCCTTGTTCCCGACCCAGGCCCCTGAAAAGAAGGAGAAGGAAACAGAAGAAAATAAGCTCCCAAACGCCAAGCTGCGATACAGATCACAGGCCTCCGACGGGGCTGCTTCAGCGGGAAATGTTCCGAAAGCCCCAAACTTACCCCCTAAACCCTAAACCCTCTAACCCTAAACCCTAAACCGTCAGGGCTCCGAGCCTCTAGAAGTCCCTTTTGTGAGACCCTACGAGACGTCAGTGAAATGGAGACTCAACCCTAAACCCTAGACCTTACTAGAGTTGCTAGACACCAGTGAAACGGACTACACGACTGGTTTGCGGCCAGGGGTTCAGGGTTTTACGGGAGCAGCAACTTCGAACCGTCGGCTTCTGGCTTTACATCTGCAGAACGAGAGCCGTTAGGCTTAGGGTTTAGGGTTTAGGGTTTTAGGGTTTAGGGTTTAGGGTTTTAGGGTTTAGGGGTTTAGGGTTTAGGGCTTTAGGGGTTTAGGGTTTAGGGTTTTTAGAACCTATCAAGACTGCGAATCATCTGCATCTGTAGCAGAACGTTCCGAATCAGCTTCTGAGGATTCTTGGGTTAGGGGCTCCCATCAGGTCAAGGGAGCTGTGCTCATCAGAAACCTGGATTATCATGGCTGGGGGGGTTTAGGGCTTAGGGCTTGGGCTTTAGAGTTGTGGGGGTTCTTGGGGTGTAGGATGCCCTAAACCCTCTGAACCCTAAACCCTAAACCCTAAACCCTAAACCCCTAAACCCTAAACCCCTCAACCCTAAACCCTAAACCCCTACTCACTGCCTCGAAGAACTTGGCCATGTCGATGTCCGTGAGGGCGCCGGACTCGTCCCGCAGTTCGCAGGCTCGGAATTCTGAGCTCATCCGTTTCGGGGTTGAGGGCTTCAGAATTTGGGTTTAGGGTTCAGGGTTTAGGGTTCAGGGTTTCAGGATCTAAGGTTGAGGGTGTAGGACTTGGGATTCGGGGGCACGTGGCGAGCTAGATCCTGACAGTATCGCGTGGCTGAAGACAATTGGCGAACAACTGCGTGCCATGCGCTTTGGTGAGAGGGTGCTTGCCCTTGCCACCAAGAGGCTTTCCAGCAAGAGTCCAAACCTGCAAAAGTGTGAGATCAGATTATGAACCCTAAACCCTAAACCCTGTAAACCCTAAACCCTGTGAACCAATCTTGCGTCACTTGGCTCTTAGGATGCCCCGATGCAAGGCATAAAAAAGGGGGCCTTGTCTCGTGAACCACGGGCTTCACCTCGGCTTCTGCCGCCGGCTCCGCCGGGGCTTCCGCTTCCGCCGGGGCCGGAGCTGTGGCGTCCCCTGCGGCGGCGCCGACTTCCTGTTGGGTTGCGAAAAAAGCACGTGGGATTTTTGAGGGATCTCGAAGGAATAGGGTTTAGGGTTTAGGGGCTTGGAGGGCCCAGACCAAAAAACGTAGTGCACATTCTCCAATGATCAGATGCCGAGTTTCCGGCACAGCCGCATCGACTTCCGGAGCAGTGGGTGGGGTGGAGTCAATTTCCATGGACGGGGCCGGGGACTGCGTCGAGACCTCCTCCTGGGCATCGTCGTTGGCCCTGGGCTGGGACTTCACGACCATTTCCTCCGCAGTAGGTACCTGTGCAACTGCTTGCCAATGGCTCGCAGGAGAACACCGAGGGATCCTTCCCTGAAGCTTAGCCTTCAATCCCTGTCAGCTGGGACGCAAGCTACCCCAAGCCCCTAAAAGCTTAGCTTCCTTCTTTCTCTCTCTCTCTCTCTCTCTCTCCCTCTCTCTCTGTCTCACTCTCTCTCTCTCTCTCTCTCTCTGCAATCTGAAGCTGCCCAGTGCCCTCTGAAGGCCGCACATGAAGAGACAGCCTACCGCGGCTTACGGGTCAGGGGTTTAGGGTTTAGGGTTTAGGGGTTTAGGGGTTTAGGGGTTTAGGGTTTAGGGTTTTGGGGTTTAGGGTTTAGGGTTTAGGGTTTTGGGTTCCCCACCTCGCTTGCCTGGCAGTTGCCCATGGTAGCAGAGCCTCAACCCAGGGAAGCTCACGGCGAAAGCACAAGACATCATACCCAACCACAGCACCTTCCGCAACATGAGAGAAGATAGGGTTTAGGGTTTAGGGTTTAGGGTTTTGCGACTGGATGTTGTCAGGAGATGACATGCTGTCGACGTGCATGAACGCGAGGCGTGTCAGAACAAAAAACATAGGAACCAATGCGGACAACGCGTGCATTTCCGTGCTGCACAAGCACACGCGAGCACCTGGCTCACAAGAGCGCACAAACGGATCCTATAAGTATGTGTGCAATCGTAAAACCTCGCAACCTGAAGCCGTATTAAACAAGAAATCATGGACCAAATACTTGGCATAGCAGCGAATAACGGCATGGCCCGACCAGACCAAATCAATAAACGGACGGAGACCTGGATGATGTAGACAAAAGGCTGTACGCAAACATTATCACGCTCACCGCTAGCCAAAGATCAAGAAAAATCGATGAGGCAAGCGCATGTGAAGCATTCCAAGCCGGTTTGTCGCAGCAGCAGCAGCAGCAGCAGCAGCAACAACGACAACAACAACCACAGACAGCACCAGCAGCATCAACAACAGCAGCGGCAGCACCGGAGGAAAAGCACCAAGCAGCAGCAAAAACAAGATCACCTCTTCTGCTTCTTCTTCATGGCAAATGTGGTCATCAGCATCAGAGCAAAAGGATGAAAGTCCAGATGATACACATGCGAACCCGAACCATTAAAAAAGGAAACCAGTGGGGGCACTAAGACTGCAAAGTTGAAGACTTCAGGATAGGTGACCCCAAACTTGTCTCACTACATTCACTATGTAGGCGGTTTAGGGTTCAGGCTTTAGGATTTAGCCTTAAGATGAGCCCTATACCCGAAACCTTAAGAAAAGCGCTGTACCCGAAACCTTAGGAAAAGCACCATACCCGAAAGCTTAAGAAAAACCCTATACCCGAAACCTTAAGAAAAGCCCTATACCCGAAACCTGAAGCAAAGCCCCATAGCCCTATACCCGAAAGCTCAAGAAAAGCCCCATACCCGAAAGCTTAAGAAAAGCCATAAACCCGAAAGCTTAAGAAAAGCCCTATACCCGAAAGCCCTTGAAAGAGCCCAAGCCATACGCCGAGTAGCAAGGTGCGGAACTCACGCCAGAAGTGTGGAGAGGGCGGGACAGTCGCTGAAATGTAGCAGAAACAATCAAGGCAGCTTACTGAAGCGTGGCATCTACAGAAAGGACGGTTGTGCCGTGCTCAGTAGCCGCGGCAGTGACAGTAAGACACTCTGGTTGACTGCACCTTCATACTTTTTATTCACAATGCATAGTGTGACTGTGACACAAACTCTTTATGTTTGTCGCCACCGCAACTCACAGGTCATCGAAGTAGTTTGCACAGGCTCTTACCAGCGCCACAAGAGCGAGATAAGGTTCTAGAGTTTAGGTATCCGGGCAAAACTAAATCTCCGAGCCATAAACTCCTTTGCTTGAGAGCCTTGATACTCGGGTCCCTGTTATCCTTCTTATTGCGTACAAGAGGCTCCAGTCTACATTATCACTGTCAGGAAGTGTCGTGCCCGCAGTCGTTTTCGGCCAATCTGTAGCTGCTCTCATGATCCCCAGAGGCTCCAAAACTCCTGCATTCAAGGAACATGCCTCTAGAATCAGTGCAAGAATCCCCCTATGCTTCAAGGATCCCTATACTTCAAAGTATCTTCGAAACTTAACGGATTCTGGAGTCTCTGGGTCGGTTGCGTCTGGCAAGTGTATAGGCCCCCGCCGCGTTTGCGGCGGCGTTCAGGACACTGCGGCCAACTGGTGACACGTAAGCTCCACTGCAGACCTCAAACTGTGAAGGTGAATCTCTAAACCCTAAATTTACTAAACCCCTAAACCCCTAAACCCCTAAACCCTAAAACCCTGAAGGATCGTAAAAATGCCCACCTGTATGTGGGTTCGGGAAGAATCCCACGGGCAACTACGAGCCTGGGAACTCTCCCCTAAAACCCTTAAACCCCTAAACCCTAATCACTTAACTTTGATCCACACCTCTCCATCGCTCCATCTCAAGCAGCCAGGCTCCTGCGGCCAAGCCGACAAGGACTACAGGGCTTCGAGGGTTTAGGGATAAGGGGCTGTAGTTAAAGGAAACTACAGGTGCGGAGTTTAGGGTATATAGGGCTTCTATATGGCTTCTACAAGGTATATAGACCTTCTATAGGGCTCCTATAACGGTAACTACCCACCTGAAAATGTCCTAGATACAGGGCTTCTAGGGCTTAGGGATAAGGGGCTCTAGGCTGCAGTCTGAGGGTCAGGGTGTTACACTAAGAGCTTCGAGTTTGAGATTGTGGGATTCGGGCTTAGGGTTCAGAGCAAAAGATTTAGGGTTCAGGGCTTAGGGTTGGGGTTTAGGGCTTAGGGTTCAGGGCTTAGGGTTCAGGGCTTAGGGTTTAGCGTTTACGGTTTGGGGTTCAGGGCTTAGGGTNNTAGGGTTTAGGGTTCAGGGGTCATCTTATAACTGCAGACTTTGGCACCCCCGAAGTCCGAAGTATGAAGACGTACTCTCGATCTGAGCACTGGTGCCATTCCATCATTGGCTTGTCATTGCTATTTCTACTACTATTGCCGTCAAGACGAATTTGCATGATGAAGAGTGTCACTACCACCATCGCAATTAAATTAACCTTGCCATTAAGCTGATTGTTGCTGCTACTTTTTGACTCTCAATGCTGTTCTTCTTCTTGATAATAACGTTGTTCTTCTTCTGCATCTTCTTGGCACTGCCCCTCAACCCAAACCCTAAACCCT